TCTTTTGTGGGTGGCGCGTTTGAAGTTGTCTTTTCCTCTCTTGCAATGAATGTAAGGAACTCGTTTGGAATTCGAAAACGGCTCCCCGACTTACCATTCCGAGCCGAAATTCATGACACCACCTACCATTGTTGACACTGGATACTTTATGTGATAGCGAGACCGGGGATGATCAGTAATTGTGCTTATCTAAAAATTCACTTCAACAGGCGTTGTTCATTCTTGAAAGGTACCATCGTCATCCAATGGATTGTAGTTTGTTTTTTATTCATCTAGTATATGAATAAATATGCCTCTGTCACAAATTCGTAACCTGGGGTTCATTCAACAAATAAATGAAACTGTTACATGCTAATATCCTTGGAAAAGCTATGGATCCTCTCCTTCTCCCCTCCGGCTATGGATAAAAAGTCTTTTCCTGCAACTGGTCTACCACAGAAAGAAATTGATCTACGGCAGGAAAAAAATTGCCTCGTCAGTCATGTATGCAAAGTTATATGATCGCCTCAGGGTATATCACTCATGTCATTTAACTGGCTAACGGAAAGACCTTAACAACTGTAACAACATTTGTTCAAGAAATTTTAAAATAAATCAATATTACTCATATTTAGACTAACAGGAAGTATAATAATGACGATGTATGTGTGTATAATATCAACACCATATATGACAATATATATATATATAAATATATATATATATATATACACACACACACACATATATATATATATATATATATATATATATATATATATATATATATATATATATATAACCACCATAGAGATCGTTCCCTGCCTCCCATTAAAATGTCTGATAGTCAACTTCCTGAGAGCAACTCCCTGCGTCTGCTCAGTCTCACGCTGACTGCTGACCTGAGATGGAACAAATACATTGAGTCAATTGCTTCTTCCACCGCGAGGAAAGTTGGCTCTCTGTGCCGCGCCAGGAAATTTTTCTCCCCTGAATCGATACTTCAAATATACAAAACAACCATTCGCCCTTGCATGGAGTATTGCTGCCATATATGGGCTGGAGCACCTTCTGCTTACCTCGGAGTTCTTGACAAGATCCAGAGACGGATATGTAATCTAATTGGCCCTGATCTAGCGTCTTGTTTGCAGTCACTCTCTCACAGACGCGTCGTCGCCTCTCTCTGTCTTTTCTACAAATACTTCCATGGTAACTGCTCTGATGAGCTGCTCTCTCTGGTTCCCAGACTCCATGAATTCAAGCGCCCTACGAGGCTGGCATCCCGCTCTCACCCTTACACCGTAGAAACCTTCAAATGTAGCCGTCTCTTCTACTCCAATAGCTTCATACCTCGCACCTCTCGCCAGTGGAACACCCTCCCCAATTACTGTTTCCCTGAAAGCTATAATCTCCAACTATTCAAATGTAATGTCAATCGACATCTCCAATTACCTTGATCTACCCACTATCCTTCTCCTCTTCCTTTCTCCTATCACTCTCGCTCCAAATCTTCCTGCATCCTAGTGGCTTCACGCCTTGCTTGGGGCACAATGCTTAAAATATATATATATATATATATATATATATATATATATATATATATATATATATACTGGGTGTAACAGCAAAATTGTCCAAATCGTGTAACAAAAAAATCGTTCAAGTGTTAGATTAAGCTTTGAACCGATGTCTCTTAGAAATCATTAAAGATATCTTACTGGAATTCTGTTGACTCTACTTTGAACAAAAAGGAATCTATTTAGCTCTAAGTTGAAATGATGATCCCTGTTGCTGTTGTGACTTCCTGATTCAGTTTTCCTCTCTGCTGCTCACTCTTTTTTTTTAACCTTATTCGCCGATCTCTTGATGGTTTTTGAATGAAATTTGAAGATGGAAGCCGGTTTATGAATGCCGGTACCATTACTGAAGACCTGAATGATCTTTTTCCTCTCACCATTGCTTAGACCTAGTGGAGCTGACAGAAAATAAATTTTAACACGTCCTCTTTCGAACTGAGTTTTTCAGTGAATCTTACGACAAATGGTGTCAAGATGGCTAAATATGTTACCTGAAAGTCGGGGAAAAGGAAACACACTTACTTCAGTGGTTTTTAAGATATTAAACATTTTGTGGGATGGGGGATTATCGCATGTTGTTACACGATTTGGATAATTTTGCTGTTACCTTCTGGTATATATATATATATATATATATATATATATATATACAGACAGAGTGAGAGAGAGGTTATAGTAGTTCCAATGAGAGAGAAGTGTGTATATTAAAAAAGAAGATTTTACTGCAAACGTTTTTGGTTGTAATGTGGATTTTTAAAAAATATTATGCTTTATTTTTACATAATTTTATATATATATATATATATATATATATATATATATATATATATATATATGCGATTATGTAAATTTGCGCCTATATTTTCGTTGCTTACCGCAAACGTTTTTTTGTTTTGATGTGGATTTTGCCGACTTTATTTTTACATAGTATATATATATATATATATATATATATATATATATATATATATATAAGAAAAAGAGCACCATCTTGCTTGTTTTCCTCCTGCACAGAAATTTGAAAAAATGGCATGATGAAATTTGAAATGGCATGATTACTGCTTGGCACCGGAAGCTCAATACGAACATTTCGGAGTGTTCGAGTGTCAATCTGAGGACAGTGCAGATATTTTGGGAAGAGTTGGATGAGTCTAATGGGGATTCCGAAGGTACGTCAGCTCGGAAACTCACTCTGATCATTCTAATAAGAAAATAACTCATGATTCTGTTGGTGAGGGACTCAGACGGAACATTGAGTCCTACATCATGTGCCTTAAGGAGGTAGTTTTGCCCTGGTTCAAGAGGTTGGCTGATAAACTAAAGGCAAGGATTTTAGCAGCATTCACCAACTTAAACAAGGAGACCGTCCAGAAGAGTTGCAGGAGATTCCGAATTCGTCTGCAGGCCGTAATTGAAGCCAATGGCGATTTTATTGAATAAATTTCCTCTTTAGTACTTCAAGATATTTTCTGTCATTTCGGTAAATACATCTGTTAAAATGAGGTGTCAGTGTTATTTTGATTTTTGCGGCATTTAGACGACAGTTCATCCATCGCACCCTATATTATGAAATGGATCTAAATTCTGCATTTATTTTTAAAGAAATATTTCGAGAAAAATATACGTTCTCCGGAAAAAATTTCCCTAATATTCAGGCCGGTAGATGGCAACAAATATATATACTGTTTAGTAAATAAATAAAAACAGAACGTCTACTTAAATATGAGTATCCACTTCAAAAGTAAACAGATAAATGTAAAAAATGTGCCAGATTCAAAACCATTTCGTAGAAACGGTCTCATTTTACGTTAGGATATAAACAGATCAGACATGTATATTTCAAGAATCGTTTGTTTCGGGATTTGTTTGATCAGGGGGTGCTATCGGGCTTTGTTTGATCAAGGGGGTTCTATCGGGCTTTGTTTAATCGGGGGTGTCCTATCGGGCTTTGTTTGATCTGGAGGGTCATATCGGACATATTTGATCAGGGTGGTCCTATCGAGCTTTGTTTGATCAGGGGGATCCTATCGAGCTTTGTTTGATCGGGGGATCCTATGTTTTATTAAAATTTTTTTTTTTTTTTTGATCGGGGAGTTCTATCGGGCTTTGTTTGATCGGGGGGTCTTATCGGGCTTTGTTTGATCGGGGGCGGGTGTCTTACATGGCCGATATGGTTTCAGTGACGTCAGATCTAATGATGGTTTACCATAGGGGATACAGGTTCGACTCCCTTTTTTTCTAATAATATTTGTCGGATATCCAAGGCCATAAGATGTAAATAAATAATTATCGTGCGATTGGGAAACCCGTGACCCATCAGGATCGTAGAGGTATCACATCTACTGCAGCTGGAAGAGAGTCTGACGGAGCCCAACCCTCTTTAGGTCGGTTTTGAATTCAGTATTGCGAGACAGGAGGTTTCATTCTTTGGTAGCCACACTGATGAGCTGTGATACTACCATGAAACAGTGTGTGATTACAATATATATATATATATATATATATATATATATATATATATATATATATATATCGCAAAAGCGTGAAACCCAGGGTCACAAACTCACTTCAATCCAACCAAATATGTTAGCTCTATCTCTGATATTGAGCGCTTTCTAATAAGTGCCGCGCATATAATATATAAATAATTATATATATATATATATATATATATATATATATATATATATATACATACACACACACACACACACACACACACACACACACACACACACATATATATATATATATATATATATATATATATATATATATATATATATATATATATATATATATATATGAAAGATAAATAATAATAAGCCTTTTTTTACCCTTAAGATCCGTTTAGGTGAAACCAACGCCTTTTATTCACTGTGCCATGTGTCCTTAACCATTTTCACCAGTGCTCATACTGCAATTTTTGCTGTAATCAAACATGTTTTTAGCAAAGCTCATATTGCAAACTTTGTTGTCATTATCGCTTTTCTCTGGCACTGCTTATTACTGGTTCCTGTATTGTATTCATTTTGTCTATGATCTCAACCTGATCACACAGAGGGCGGTGATCTGCCTTCTCTGTATATATGTGGTCAGCCACGCCTTATTCTTCCACTTCCCCTCATCTACGTAACTTAACCATATAGTTTGCGTTGGTTAGATCCAGTGACAGGACCCAAAGAGTGTGAGCACGTGGAACTAGAATAGTCTACCCCAGTGAGCGAAATAAAGTGTTCAGTTCGACATTCCAACCACCTGAAGAAGGCCGTAGGGTACAACGTCCGAAACGTTGTAATAAATATAGCGAGAAAGATGAGGATAATAGTCCGAATAATGTAAATAATGTACATGATTCATCTCAAAAATATAGACAGATACTATCTATCTCATTCTGGATATATCTATCTATTTATTTAAGTTTTTTGATATCTATCTATCTATATGAGTTTGTTCATATCTATCTATCTATCTATCTATCTATCTATCTATCTATCTATCTATCGCAGTCTGGTCATAGGTATCTATTTATCTAAGTCTGTTGATATCTATCTATCTATTTATATATCAATCTAAAATTGCTCATATCTATCTATCTGAGTTTGTTCACATCTATCTATCTATCTATCTATCTATCTATCTATCTATCCCAGTCTTTTCTCATCTACTATTGACTATTAATGCAGTTTTTCTCAGACTGTTTCTATCTATCTATCTATCTATCTATCTATCTATCTATCTATCTATCTCACTCTGTTCATATCTATCTATCTATATATCTATTTCACTATGTTCATATCTATCTATCTCTCTCTATCTATCTATCTCACTCTGTTCATATCTATCTATCTATCTTTCCCAACTTGTAACAAATTTTAGGTTAATTTTCGATAAATTCTTTTCAATTGTAGTTGTGATAGAGTTGTCCCTTATTAAGAACGACATATTTTGATTTGTTGGGCTTACATATCCTATATATATATATATATATATATATATATACATATATATATATATATATATATATATATATATATATATATAATGTATGTATATATCCAAACATAACAACTGGGATACGAAAGGACAAATTTGGTAAAATTATATGTTGGTTAAAAAAAATGGTTTTGAGTGAAACAGATGTTCTTTTCAGATATTTTGTTAAAGTTTTAGCTTGTGCCCAAGCTTGTCAGTAAACGTGGATAGACGAATGAATACAGCTTCTTTGAAGTCTCCGGTAGCCAAAATAGAATACTTCTGAAGTACATTCATCCTCCAGCTTTTTCTTTGCCGATCGCTTATATTTTCTTTTTTTAGCTCAGGATATTTGAATAGCAAAATGGAATGATTCAATTGGACGAGAGAGCTATTTCTTGTGTGGATATATACGTATGTAACCTCCGATGCCACTTGAAGTAACCGCTCGTACAAACCACTTCCAATTTGGATATTTTAACAACAATGAAAGCCCAATTTCTATAAGCTGGTCGCACAGACTAGTTCATTACAGTAATGAGTTTGATGCTTAACAAGAACACATATTAAGTCTTGAATTTATATAAGATTCGCTACGTAAATGGGGACACGGTGGAGTAATGGATAGTGGCTCGGGTTGAGGAATTGGAGAGCCAAGTTCGAATTCCAGTCGAGTCCGTTATATTTAATTACGTGGTATGTATCATCTTCTTCACCCAACCCCCCGCCATGGCTAAATAGCAGGTCAGACCGTGTTCTGTAGCCTTGGATGGCAGCTTGTCTACCACATAAAGAAATGGCAACCTACTGCGGGAGAAAATCTAACTAGTCAATCATGTCTCAAAAGATATATGATCGCCTAAGCGTGTATCACGTATGGCACATAAGTGAGCAAGATTGTTTCAATTCGTTAGTGTAATTGCGTTTGATTCTCAATTGGTACACATCTTCTGAAGCATTGTGCCAGTCTAAGCTCAGCTTCATAAATAAAATTGGCAGCTACTGTAGCGCAAGCAATTCGTACAACTTAACGACTGCAGCGATTTGGGTTTTCATTGACTGACAATTTGATACGGCTCTCTGCCAGTCTAAGAGTAAGCTTATGTCAACTACAGTAAAGTGTTAGTTAACGCAGGGTTTCAAATTCGCTAGTGTAGTCTTCTGCTGGTCTGAACTAAGTTTAGTTTTAGTGTCTTGCAATTCTTTTTGGGAGCACAAATTCTTTGGTCTTGTGCTAAACTAAGATAAACTTAACTTTAATTTTCATGCATATCCACTTAATCGGCTCGTAAAAAAATAAATTAAAGCAAGGTTTGACCCAAATGCGAGGTTGGTGAAAAAGCTGTCTCTGCAAATCTAATATTAAATATATTAGGCTCAATTTAGACGGGTAAAGACGACATGCTGGAAAACTACATACATTATATTTCATATTTATTCTATCCTCCGCTGAAATCTTTTTTCTCTCTCTTAAACGTCTCTCTTTTTATTCCTTTCCTTTAATTATTCTCTCTCATCGTCTCTTTCTTTCTATCTTTCTTCCAATAGACGAATAGATACCAAACAGTTCTATTCTAACTGCATTTCTCCTTTCTTATCACTCTCTTACAATTATCCCCACTCTCTCTTCATTCAATATATATATATATATATATATATATATATATATCAGTTTGTTGACATCTATCTTTATATCTCAGTATTTTCTTATTTACTATTGACTCTTAGTGCAATCTGTCTTAGATTGTTTTCTATCTATCTATCTATCTATCTATCTATCTATCTATTACAGTTTGTTCATATCTATTTATCTATGTATATATCTCTGAGATGAGGTATTATGATTATTTACATTATTTACATTATTCGGACAGTTATCTTCATCTTCATTGCTATATGTACGACGTTTCGGCCGTTGTACGCTCCGGCCTTCTTCAGGTGATTCGAATTTCGAACCGAACCCTTCATTTCGTCCACCGGAGTAGATTGTTCTATCTATCTATCTATTGCAGTCTGCCTTTTCATATCTATCTATCTATCTATCTATCTATCTATCTATCTGTTATCTGTTTACTGATTTATCTCTCTTTCTAAGTCTGTTCAAATCTACCTCTATTTAAGTCAGTTTGTTCATATCTATCTATCTATCTATCTATCTATCTATCTATCTATCTATCTATCGCAGTCTGCTCATCTATCTATCTGTTGATATCTATCTACCGATCTATCCATCTCTCTAAGTCTGTTCACATATACCTCTATCTATCACAGTTTGTTCATTATCTATCTATCTATCTATCTATCTTATCATTACACGTTCATTCTTTTTGTTTTCCTCTCACGTCCAATTTTCAAATATATTATCAATATTTGCATTCTACCGAATATTTTGCATCTCATTTTTATTCTCTCTGTGTCCCCCTCTCTCTCTCTCTCTCTCTCTTATATATATATATATATATATATATATATATATATATATATATATTTCCTCTGGCTTGCAATATACAATTAAATTTCGACAGTCTCATTCTCTCTTATTTCTCTCTCTCGCTCTTTCTCTCTCGCTCTCTCTCTCTCTCTTTCTGCCTGTATAGGTCACTCTCTTGTCACTACTCTCTCTTCATTTCATACTTTTACACTTCCTCTTTTCACCTCTCTTTACCCTTCCTCCCCTTTCTCTCTCTCCCCCACTCTCTTAATAATACTCTCTTTATTCAGTTCTTCATATTTGTCTCTCTCTCCCTCTCTTTTCTCTTTCTCTTTGTCAACGATTTTAATTCTTACTTGTTTTCTTATCTTCATCCTTCGTTTCGTGCTAAGAATTACAAACCACGATTTAGTTTTGTATTTATAATCAATCAATGTCAATCAGTTTTGGTTTTTAAGGCAAACTCCAAATTCCTACAGAACCTGAAATCCATCCATCAACATGAAAAAATAACGATGCTCATCTGGTTGTCCTATGTGCAATGTATCTGAAGCTTGAGGCGACTGTCGTCTAGGAAAGACAAGGCAACAAGGCTAAAACCCCATCCTCAGATACGAAGTGCTCGAACTTTTCTCATTCTTATAATACTGTAGCCTGAACCTACAGGAATACAGAAAGTATAGAACTTTGCAAAGTGGGGGAAGCCCAAAGTTACAAACCGGAAATGCCAACATCAAGCAAGCTTAAATCTCTGGGAAGAGTTTTAACACAAAAATACACAAAACAAAATCTGAACACGCATTGAACTGGCAAATTCTAAAATGCCAAGAAAAGTATTGAGAAACAGAATTAAAATCCATTAAAAACAAAGAAAAGGGCTTAGGATCGTTATGTGATATCCATCTGCTTATATGACAGGGAATGCTGGACAATCTCCCCGTGCGGGCGGGGTTAAGTGTCTCCGAGGAGACACGGTGGAGTAATGGATAGCGGCTTGGATTGAGGAATCGGAGAGCCGAGTTCGAATTCCAGTCGGATCCATTACATTCACTTACGTGCTAACACCCTTGGGAAAGGTGTGAATCCTCTTTCTTCTCCCTCTAGCTATGGGTAAATAGCAGGACAGACTGGGTTCTATAGCCTTGGATGGCAACTGGTCTAGGAGAAGGAAAACTCTGAATTCAAACCTGCGGAAGGTGAATGGAGTCTCTCTGAGCCTTGGTTGGCAATCCATTAATGATGGTGTCACGATAAAAACACCCTTGATAGCCCTAGCGAAGCATCAAGAATTCAGCTATTTGACAAGATTATGAACTACACCAATCAAAGTATTGGTGAGTTCAATCTCGGCTGAAGCCGCAAGATGATGATGAAGTGTCTCCGACTTAAGTCAAATCGTTCGAGTTTCGATCATGGCTTGAAGCAACGGCGTGTGTAGCCACACTTAAATGCTATGATACAGCGAACAGTCTCTCTGCAGATTACCATATATATATATATATATATATATATATATTATCTACATTATTCGGACTATTGTCCTCATCTTTGTCGCCATATTTACCACAACGTTTCGGCCGTTGTACGCTCCGGCCTTCTTCAGGTGGTTGGAATTTCGAACTGAACCCTTTATTTCGCTCACTGGGGTAGACTGTTCTAGTTCCACGTGCCATGTTTGATGGATGTCAGTTATCAGTTATCTCCTGTTAATTTTCCCTCTGAACGTTCTCCACTACCTTAACCGAGTGAACACTCTTTGGGTCCTGTCACTGGATTTATATATATATATATATATATATATATATATATATATATATATATATATATATATATATATATATATATATATAGTCGGATAATCCGTATGGATAATCAAAAGGAGGATGTAATCAAGAGAGCTCAATGTAATATGTATTACAAAACATTTCACTATCTAACTATATATATATATATATATAACATTAAAAATAATATATATATATATATATATATATATATATATATATATATATATATATATAATATAAAATATATATATATATATATATATATATAAATCGATTCTCCTGGCGGTTTCGACGTATGAGGGTCAAGCAGATCAGTTTCCAGGAAACCGATAGCCCGACACCGGCACATGAGATTTGATTATAGTGGTGAAGACCTCGTGCAGGACCATCCACACTTTTTGAAGGGACGAATACAACCTTCCTCAGGTTTTGAGTTCAGAGTTGTCCTTCTCCTAGACCAGTTGCCATCCAAGGCTATAGAACCCAGTCTGTCCTGCTATTTAACCCATAGCTGGAGGGAGAATAGTAGGATTCACACCTTTTCCAAGGGTATTAGCACATAAGTGAATGTAATGGATTCAAACTCGGCTCTGCGATTCCACAATCCAAGACGATATTCATTACCCCACCATATATATATATATATATATATATATATATATATATATATAAATAGAGAGAGAGAGAGAGAGACGAAATATTCCTTATTTGCATTTGAATACTGATTATTACACACCATATAGGAAAGACTTATATAACTAGAGATACGTTAATAAGGAGTCCAACCACCCACTCAATATTTTAAACAATTTACATAGATCAGTCCAAGTTGGATTATCTAATAACTCCATCAATAAGGAAATATTTTATAATAATAAAATTAAATATGTAAAAGCATTAGAACTTAGCAACCGTAAAGTAAATTTCGAATATTTAGAGAAAAAACAAAACGGTTAAAATGAACAGAGAAACTGGAATTTAATATTGTTTAACCAACCTTTTAATGGTAATGCTCAAACAAATAGTGAAAGATTTCCTAAATTTAATTCATAAACACTTTAATCACTAAACAATACTAAAGAAAATTTTTAACAAAAAAAAAGGTAAAAATCAGCTCTAGCTTGTCTATACTTCGATAAATCAATATAACAATATTATACTAAATGAATACATGTACAACAAAGACAGCAACGTTAACTTTTTTTTTTAAATAAATGCAATTGCCGAAAAAATGTCCTGTCCTTTAAACGGTCAATGTATGACTAATAAAAAAAAAAAAGTCGAATCCATTACATTCACTTACATGCTAATACCCTTGGTAAAGGTATGAATCATCTTCTTCTCCCAGCAGCTATGGGTAAATAGCAGGCCAGACTGGGTCCAAAACGAATCTGATATCATTCCCAAAAAGTATGGCAAACTATATATAATAAAGAAAAAGAATGTTTACCGACCTGGAGTAAATAGTAGGGTAGATTGATCTCTCCTGCTTTGTGGGACAGGGTGTATACAAGATGTAAAAATCCGACTTCAAAATCAGAAAACCAACGAGAAAGCTATTCACTATCTTTTACAAAAATTATGGCAAATCACATATACCGAATTTGACGGCATATAAGTCGTACGGATGTATAAGACGAATCCTAATTTCAGCAGGTCAAATCAAGAAAAAATTTGTAATTAGTAAAATTAGTAAAATTATTAGTAAATCGTACAGCCTAGCCTATATTTATGAGGTATTATTTTGGCTATGATTACAAGTAAACGAAAAATAATAGGAAAAAAGAACACGAGCCTATAAAGACTTAATTATATCCAAAAGTAAGAAAACAAACTAAAAACAGTACATTTACCATTAAAATTTATTCATCTTCAAATCTATATAATTCGCCGTCTTCGTTATCAAAACTCTGATACTTATTTTCAATACTACTATCATCGTCGTTAAATAATGCGTCATCTTCCGTTCCAGTAAGAGCATTGCTAATGCCACACTGTTAAAAAGATTTTGCAACAATTTCTGGTCTAATATTTTGTAATGGAGCGATAAGCGGAGATGGATGTGAGATTGAAGTACGAAGAGGAGATCAGCAACAATTACGTTTTCTTGTGTTTGATATTTGAATCATAAGTACCGTATTTGACGGCATATATGACGCACGGGTGTATAAGACGCACGCCAATTTCAGCAGGGAAATTCAAGAAATAATTAGTAAATTTAGTAAAATTATTAGTAAATGGTACAACCTTGGCTATATTTATGAGGTATTATTTTGGTTAAACAAGCCATGATTACAATTAAACGAAAAATAAAAGGAAAAAAGAACACGAGCCTATAAAAACTTTATTATATCCAAAGGTAAGAAAACAAAATAAAAATCAAGCAATTATTACAATTGAGCCAAACAGTACATTTATCATTAAAATTTTATTAATCTTTAAATCCATATAATTTATTGTCTTCGTTATCAAAACTCTGATACTTATTTTCAATACTACTACCATCGTCGTTAAATAATGCGTCATCTTCCGTTCCATTGAGGGCATTGCTAATGCCAGAATTTTAAAAATATTTCAAAACTATCGCATATTTTAAACCTACATCTGGCATATAAGATGCAGGGAAATTTTAAAAGATATTAAAAAAAAAAAAAAAAAAAAATTGCGCCTTATGTACCGTCAAATACAGTAATAAAAATAAGGAATCTTTATTAATTCCTCTCTATATGACATATCTCCTCAGGACGTTGGCGACCATGGCCCTCCACAATTTCCTGTCCTTTGTAGCTCGTAATAAATTTTGTCTATTTTTTATTTGGTCCTAAACTTTTTTCCGCCATTTATTTACTCAAGTTCATTAAATATGTTACGCATTGTTCTCCGTTGTAACCTCAGTCTGTCCTGTGAGTATCAGATTTTCCAAGCCCTCCTTCCTCATTATGTGCTCCAGACATTTACACTGTCTCTTCCTGATATTAAGCATAAGTTTCCTTTTTGTTTCCATTCTCTCGAAAACCTCATTGTTGCACACATGTTTCGTCCATAGTACCCTCAGCATTCTTCTGCGGAACCATATTTCTGTTACTTCAAGTCTCTTCATCTTTGAGGAGACTGTCTAGAATTCGCTGCCAAATATCACGTAACAGTTCAGTACTCTTTTCTTTGTTTTTAAAGAAGTATTTGTGTTTCTTAATACTCTGCTTAGCTTTTGGAAGGACATCTTTGGTCATCCCAATGCCACTTTGGATTTCAATGTTGCCATTTCCGTCCTCCGTTAAAACTCTACTCAGACGTTTACAATCGTGTACATCTTTGATTTTTGCATTTTCTTATCTGTAATTTGAATTACCGAGGTTAAATAACAGTGTAAACTGGTCTGTCTAGCCTTGTGGGGCCAGTGAGCCGAGGAGATGGAAAAATCGAAATTCAAACCGTAGACAAAGCAACGAAAAATGAATCTGATATCTGTCTCAGAAAGTATGGCAAATCATATATAATAATAATAAAAAAAAAGAATCTTTACGGGCCTGGATTAAATAGTAATGTAGATTAGCCTGTCTTAGCCTTGTGGGGCAGGGAGTCTTGGAGATGAAAATATCCGAACTCAAAATCGTAGAAAAGCCAACGAGAAAGCTATTC